TCTCTTTCAATCATCTTTTGATTATTTCGATATATTTCTGTCTGTATTTGTACCTCTATATTTTTTTGTTATACTTTTCATTAATTTTTAAAAACATGTTCTCCATTTTTATTAACATTTTCTAGAAACTTTATAAAAGAATATTTTAATAAAATTGAAGAAAATTAATAACATTAAAAATAGAAGTGTGTATATATATATATATATATATATATATATATATATATATTAATACCTTTACTGATATATTACTTCTTAATTTTCAAACAAAATAATCATAAATCTTTTTACATATATTAATTATGTATCAAAATAGTCTTTAATCTAAAATATTTTACAAAAGATTATTATCAAATTAAATTCTTTTTCTTTTATTAGACTTAATAAAAAATAAAAAAACTTTTTCATTCATAAAGAATAAATAAAACTTTTTCATTCATATTATAGTTTTTAAAATGCACAGCGTTTATTTTATTCAATTTCACGAAAATTTTAATTGCACAGACTAAATCTTCACTTTAATTCGCATAAATTAATTATTTATTTCATTTAAATTAGACCACTAGATAAAGCGACAACTACCAATTGTGTACATAAAATCCTTGAACAAACATTAACAATATAATAAAAGAGATTTTAAATATAATTTTATCTTAAAATATAAATATTATCTCGAAATATATCATAAATACTATCGAACTAATATTATTATAGTTATATTATGATTTTAATTGTATGACATTAAATTTTCATAAAAATGAAAATTTAAATTATACAGATCACATCTTCACTTTAATTCACATAAATTAATTAATCATTTTATATTTTAAACGAATTAATTATTAATTTTTTATCTTAGAAGGCTAAAAATGTTTTGCAATATCAAATTCATGAATCTCGAAAGATATTAGATTTATTAATTTTTAGCGTAATGAATTTATCTAGTTCCTCCTAAAACAAAATTTAATAAATTTACAAAATTAAAATTTATATAATTTAATTAAAACTTTATAAAAAGAAATTTTCATATTTATATTTTATGATACTTATAGAAGAAATATTACAAAATATTTCTCTAAGAAGATACTTCTTTAACAAAAATTTTCAATTTCTTTGTAAAAATCAAATATATTTGATTTATTTCAAAGTATCAAATAAAATATTGTTACATTGTAGATAATGCGATAATAATGGGCAAGTGAGATATGATATTTATTTTGATATTATTATATTTATTATTATTAATAAATGTTATAAAGTAAATATCAGAAATTATAGAAAACAATTCGACAAACTATATTGACATTAACATCAAATGATCACAAAATTAATTTTATCATGAAACTAGCTCGAATTATGTTAATCACTATTTATAAACATCACTAATTATAAACGCAATTTCATAATTAATTGGATTCTGTTGTCAAATGAATAATTATCAAGGATAATGTGCGAAATCTAATAATATATCTTAAAATTAATTTTTATCTTCAAGAGTATAAGAATATAGAACTGATATGAATATTTATTATCGCATATTATAATTTTTTTATCAATTATTATTATGTATTAACACATTATTATATTCAATATCTTAGAACAGCTTCAAAAAACAAATTGTTTTGTTAACAATTTTTAATTTAGGAAGCAATCTTTTTCTATTATATTTTTTATTCTTGTCTTTTTTTATACTGCAAAATAGTACCAAAATCTCACGGTCATATTTACCTTTAAATTGTATATATGCAATTTAATAAATGTAATAGAAGAAAATTTCGAAAAATGCAATAATAAGAAAATTTCGCAATTTCTGATATTTTCATCTCATCAACCTATATACATGATCTAACTAATAAGTTAATAACATTAAATGTTTCTTAAAAACATGCGTTATTGCTATAATATAGAGTAGATAGTAAATCGAATGTGCTTTATAAAATATTTATATAAATACTCTTTTAAATATACGATTTTTAAAAATGATTTTTTTCTAAACAAAACGATGATTTGGGAATAAGAGAGCGAATGATTCAAAACTACTGAAGTATTATAAGAGAGTTTTAGATTACAATTAATTTATTAGATATCATTTAAATATAATAAAGGTGAATTTACGATCTAGAAGTCCATTTACTTCAAAATTTTTGCTATACAAAAAATTTCAAAATTATGTTTTTTAATAATTTCTTTTTTGATCAATGTAAAGAATGTTTCCTTAATAAAAATATCAAAGTATCGAAGTATATAAGCGTTTCATACCTTTTAGAAACGTTTGTGAGTAGTTAAAATGTTAATTCATTCAAAAACGTTAAGAAATACGTTTCTAAAAAAACGTTTAAGAAACGGTCAAAATATGTTTAAAAAATGGTCAAAATACATTTTCTTAACTATAGTTTCTATGGAAACGTTTCTTATTAATGCTTTATGGTTGAAAAACATTGGATACGTTTAAGAAACGTATAAAACGAACATCTAACTGCGTATATTGAATTATGATAGATAATTAATATACCCTGCAATAATAGTACCGTAAAAGATAATTTAAGATGTAGTTGAGGGATATTGATACAGATGGCGACATCACTGTTACCGATTATTGTAGAGATAGTCGCTTCTGTTCTGTTCTGAATTTTTGTATCACAAATACGAGATCATTATTATTATTAGTCAATATGCTTTAATATCTATCTTTCTTTTGAGATAGCTTTATAGAATAGATAAAAATGCGCATTTTGCTTACAAATTAAAAATTAACAAAAATTATATTTTTTAGTTAAATTAAGCGGAGAGTTCGAATAGGAATAGAATTTCAATTTGAAAATTAATTCCAAAAATATATGATGGAAAACAATTGGAAATTTGCAGAAAATGATGACAAAGCAAAATCACCAGATCAGTCAATCTGCTAAAAAGATATTTACAATAGGTTTTGACTCTATCTATCTCTCTCTCTCTCTCTCTCTCTCTCTCTCTCTCTCTCTCTCTCTCTCTCTCTGTGTGTGTGTGTGTGTGTGTGTGTGTGTGTGTGTGTGTGTAACTGGATAATTTTACCTTTTTTTAAATAAAAAATAAGTAAAAAATATCTTTATATTAATTTCAATTAATATTTTCCTGTAACAATTTAAAGCAAAGCCATTCTCTCTCTCCCTCTCTCTCTCTCTCTCTCTCTCTCACAACTATTTAGTATTAAAATAATTTAATATTTTAATTTAAATTTCAATACTTACAATTCAACCTAAATTAAATATTAATTGTTTCCAGGAATTAAATTTAAACATATTAAATATCAGTTAATTAAAATCAAATCAAGGAAGCGTCAATTATCTTTAATAATTAAATTCAAGTCAATTAGATACTCATCCTCATTAACTTAGTGATACATGATCAAACCCAAGCAGAAATCACGATAGTGTTCAATATTAATGACAAATCTTAAATACATATAATGCGATTGGCTTGAAAACGTAATTTACAACCTCAGCTTGCTTCAAAAGTTATGAGAGTAAAGCCGAGACTCACAGCCGCGGGGTGGAGAAATGGAGGGGAGGAAGTTGTTTGCACCCTGCATTTAATATCGCGCATTTAATTCCCTGTAGGATGCATTTCAGGAAGGAAGGCGACCTGCGTTAAGGTAAACCTGGGTCACGGGTATGACAGCGGCTTTCACAGCCGGGATTTCCTGCAAGCGGGAACGAAGACAGCACCCCAAAGAGACCGGAAGCGTGGCTGCGATGGTAATTCCTGCGCGCAAGGAGGAATTAAGGGACTCCCGAACAAAAATGGGACAAGGAGGGGAAAGCGTGAGACGCGTGATTTAAGTCGTAAGCGGCAAGATAACGCTATCCTCACCGCCGTAATTTCGCCAAGACGAACGGTTATTGGGCGAACTTCCGCGCATAACACAGCGATGCACCCTTTACATTCTCTTTATTTTCCCTTGTCATTTCCAAGATGTACCTAATTTGAAAAAGTGATATGTATTTCTTCTATCAAATTAATTAGAAATGATGGATGTAATTGATAAAAACTTAACAATTCATTGGTGTACAATTAATATAGAATATAATTGATAATTAATAAGAATAATTGATTGACATCTGATTAATCGAGTAATTAAAAAAGTAAATTAAGATATTCATAAAAATAGACTATATTATATATATTATACATATTATATATATATATATATATATATATATATATATATATATATTATACTCCAAACTATATTATACATTCTTTTTCTTTATAAATTTGAATTCAAAAATGAAAAATCCATCATATATTGAGGAAAAAAATATTAGTTCAAACAAGAAATCGATAACAAAAATGAATCTTGATTGAGTAATCAATATATTTATTTTATATTAGACTTGAACTTCAATTAAAAATGGAAAATCAATCATTTAAAATGAAAGGAAAAAAAATATCAATTTATATCCACGATATCGATAATAAAAGCGATGGAAGTAATCGATCTTGATTCAATAACTATAACAATTTTATATCTTTTACTATTTTGTTATCTTATATACATTAAATAAACAATCAAATATATATTACTCTCTTCAACAGTTTGTTGACTTATACTACTAAAAGTTGACTACGTTAGTAAAAGGTTTTCGTTTTATTATCGTTATTTCCATTTTGCAATCGTGACAAACTCCGGTTCTAATAATGAGTCTGATATACTTTCTATACTATTTATTTTTTTCCACTTTCTCCAAAGCTTAAACACACACTTATTCTGTGTCAGATACAGAAAGGAAATACAAGAAGAAAGGAAGAAAGTGCAATTAAAATGAATAGTCCTATTATGTTTCTATGTTTCCTTTAGAAAATGTAACATTAAAATAAAAGCTTCTGAGACTTTCCTTAAAACTATTATTATATTGTTATCTGTAGGTTCATTTTAAAGCGAGCTATTTAATCATACTTTAACTTCTATGCAGCACATATGAAAATTTTCATAAATAATAATAATGTTGAATAAACTTAACTATATGATGAAGATCTATCACTGAAATCACTGTCGTGCCTGTGCTCGAATGTCCTCGGTATCTGTAAAACAAAGATTAATTAATTTTATTACAATTATTGCAATGAAATATTATTATGCAAACATATTTATATAAATTATCAAATTATTTATTGTTATTCTATAGACCCACACACGCAATATACATTGTTCTACATATATAATGTTCATATTGGTTTCTATTTCTTAAATATATATACATATATTTAATATTTCTTTATGTTTAAAAAATCTTTATATTATCATTGTCACAAATAATTCATTTTTTAAGAAAAGTAATAGCTGTACAATTGTTTACATAAAATTAGTTAAAATTTTGAATATTTATTTAAATATAAATTTTTTTCTAAATAATATGATGTAATGAGATCACATAATATAATATATACAATTAATAGATCAAAGTGAAATTAATAGTTGAGAATGTACAATAATAATTTAAAACCTTAATATTTATGTATATTTTTTATACTTTGTATAAATTTTATTTTTACTTTTTTTCATTAAACAACATTAATCAATAATTATTACACAATAGAATTAAAATCAATAATTACACAGTCTAACAAAACATACTTTTTACAACATAAGAATAAAATCGATCACTTCCTATAATCTTTTTTTATGCTAAATTCGGATTTCCAAATTATTCCATTACATTGCATCATAATTTAAAAACAATTTATATTAAAACTATTTAATATAATATAATATAATATAATATAATATATTTACTTAAACATAAAATTGTTTACTGAATATAAATTTAATACAAAAATTAACTAATTAAAATTATATATAATTTTTTTACAAATTTTTATTCTGCGATCTTATCAGTCTCGCATTTCAGAATATCCTGTATATAAATATTTGTAAAAATCTAAATATTGATTAGTTTTGATCCTTTTATCTCTCAAAATCGTTATTCTGAAATATATATAGACAATTTTAATCGGATTCGAATTAAGCGATTTTTAAAATTCCCTTAAATTTATTATTAAAAAAATATATTTGAGGATTATTTGATATAGATCCCAAAATATTATTAAACTTACAATAGTCCGCATATTTTGTTATAATCATATCTTATTAATCGAAAAAGCAATCGAAAAAAATTCTTTTTGAAAGCTAAAAGTTCTAACAACACTTAATTGCATATAATTGCAATAAAACAACCAGCACATTATATACTATAATTATGAAAAATTTATAGAAAATGATTAATCTTGTTTTTGCGTTCCTTTTTTGATGAATTGTGTTATTCAAGAAGATATATAATCATTATGTAACAATGTGTAAATATTAAATTAAATTAAATATTAAATATTAAATTAAATCATTTCTTTATCGCTAATTCCGATATATTTCCCAAGAATTAAATTAAATTATTTCTTTATCTCTAATTTTTTTCTCTCAATCTGTTTCTTTGATCAAATTTGAAGTATTTATTTTCTCAAGATATGATTGTTACACTTGTGTTGCTTACATTCAGTTTTCAATTATAATTTTCAAGTTTAATTTATAACCTATTTCCGTTTCATTGAAAAATATTGAAGAACATTAGAACTGCGAAATGTTCATTTACAACATTAGCGAGGATGAATTTAGTGGGAGAGAGAAGTTGCATATACAATGGAATTTTCACCGGCAGCAATTAAGAGTAGAATTTGCAAATTGCGCCGTAATATGCAGTGACAGAGAGGTAAACGCCTATGCAATGGTGTAAGAAAAAGAGAGAGAAAGAGAGAGACAAGATTAATAAGTATGACGAAGATACCCACGCAAACTATAATATCGCGAGTAGAGAAGAGGAGCGGTATTTAAGATGAAATATATACGAAATACGATGCAATGCAACGAAGGATATATCCCGACGATGCCAACTAGAGGAGATTAGATCTCGGCGATTCGTTTCGAAATTAAACTCGCTTTAATCCTGCGCAACTCCTACGATTAATCTTCCCGCGTACTCTTCGGCTTACAGTTCTTAGATTCCGAAGTAGCATTGCTTCTTTTATATTAACTTTGCAAGCAATCTGTTGAACTGCGAGCTTCATCAAAAAATTAGCTTTTCTATTTTTCAATTTTTCTCTACTACTGTATTCTCGCTTGCCTTTTTTTTTAAATAACGTTTTAAACATTTTCTTGCTCAAATTTTGCGGCAAATAAAAATAAAAATTCAAAATTTAAATTTGTTTAAATTTTCTTATTGTTTGTAAGTACGTTTATTCTATAATACGAATGCGAAGCGTCTAAAATTATATAATATTTAATTATTTAATTTTGAACAATCTTTTATTCATATGATATGTGTATATACTGATTAGTATTACTATATTTTGAATTTTGCAATGCATTTACAAAAACAAATTGAAGTATTTTATAAATAGCCTAAGCAATAGGGAAGAAGGCTACTATAAATGGACAGAGAAAGAGAATAAAATAAGTTTCAATATCTTTTATATATATTTTATATACATATATTACATTATTGATTATTAGTAATAATTTATATTAGTACGTTATTATATTATTTTAATTAATTATTCGGATACTTAATATGTTATAATATTCTTTTTTATCATACATACATAGTGTTCATTCAGAGTATAAGACAAAACTACCTTTAACGGTTAAAGAAAAAGAATGTCACAGAGTAAAAATTAAATAGTTTTAGACTATTTAATTACATTTATTTTTAATTTAATACATATTTCATATTTCTACTTTTCTATACTTATGTTTTTACATCTAGATACAATTACAATGTATCTAGATGTGTAATTGTATCTTTTTATAAATGGAATCCCATGCTTTTGCGACTGCATTAGTTACAATTTTTCATTTTAACAAAACTATGAGAGAGTAAGAGAGAGGTCGGATTCCATAAAAAAATATAATATTACTATTAGGAAGCACCTAAAATTATTTAATTTTATTTTGATGTTTTTAATAATATTTTTTTCGATTTCCATTTCCATTTAAAAATACAGCTTATAATTATCTCAGCTATACATGGAAAAGATATCTTGAATAATCTTTTTATCTAATATATAATATGTATATTATAGAGAAACTTTTTCTATCATAATAAAATAAACGACACCAGAATATCGATTAATCTATTATGCAAATATGTATAATGCAAGCTAGGAAAATTAATGGAGAGAGTGCTGGAATGTTTGACTAAAATTGAATAATAGATGTTCTTGTAAAAACAGAACATTGTGTGAATTCTCGCGAGCGAAGACTCAACTTAATAAAAGTTTCATCTTTTTTTTTATTTCTTATTGCATCTTCTTGCTTCACTTTTCTCACTTCGCGTTTCCGATTAGTTGCCTGGATATCGGAACACCTGTCGCCAACAGATTAATGGTCCATTATCGTGAATCGCTATCCGCCTCGATTTCTTAAAAAGCGTCATTTTAGGCCATCGAAAAGAAAAAAAATTATTACCCAGACAAATAATTTTCTTTTATCACAAAATTATCTAATCTTTAAATTTTTAACAAATTTCTAGTTTGTAATTTTCAGAACTAGTCAAGAAATTTAGAAAAATGTGTATACATGTATATTATACATATGTGTGTGTATGAGTGTGCACATATATTATATGTATTCTCGAAAAAATTTGAAAAAATTTGAAATTCTTAATGTACACAGTAATATATCTTAAAATTCAAAATTTTCTATGAGAATTTAAAAATTTTCATAATAATAATAAGTTTTTATAATTTATTACAATAATATAACGAATTTTTTTTATTGTTTTTTATTATAATCTTAAAATAATTTTAAACAAGACTTGTCTGTCTACACATAGTCAAAACAGGTTTGATACAATTAGAGTTTTTAGACTGCCTCGTATATCTGTGTGAACATTTATTGTGTGATATGATGTAATTTGTTTTTACATCTTTCTGTAAATTAATTATTTTTAATGTTAAAGAGGTATATATCTCTCTCGCCAATAAGTGTACTCCTTATCTTTCTTGTTCATTATAGGCATCTCTATATTTGATTGGCTTCTTGCGGAAAAATATCATAATGAAGCCTCAACTTTTTCTGATTCGCTTCGTGACCTACCAACTGGAGAGCAAATACACTTTACAGAAGCCTGGATGTTTATAATGATGGAAAGTTGGATTACCATTATTTTGATGTTGCCGAGAGATTTTAAATTTTAATTTAACAGCTTCGTTTTTAAATTTAAATTTGACAATTTAAGTTTTTATGTTTTATTTTGTTCGTCGAGTGTGTTGTTAATTTTAGGACTTATGTAATCATTTATTTATATCCGTTTATTTCGAATTTCGCTGAAGATAACCCGAAAAATGGAATCAAAATGTTTGCCTTGTTAATTATTAATTTAATTTTTAATTTTTAGTTCTTTAATATTTTTATTCGTTAAATTATTATTTTTTAATAATCTCATTTGCGCGTTATTGACGGCGTTGACTCTTATTACCTTTTAATTATTTATATTTTATTGTCAGAGCCTTTTTGCCCAATTAAGGTATTTAAACTACAAAATTTAACAAAATCAAGTTAGATTAATAATATGCTTTATTTATTGTAATTAATAAAATATTCTTTAGCAAGGTATTTATTCAGACAATTCATAACATAATAAATTATAATATTTTTCGATCACTCTTAACATATTTAAAATACAAGCCCAATTTATTAATCGCTTTGTATTTTCTTTCTTTTACTTCTATTTCTGTAGAAAAAATTTAATAATGTCAATTTTAAAGATTGAGCTGAAAGCAATTATTTTTATTATCTCTATATATGCAATCAAGGGATTTATTTTTATTAAAAATTGGATTTATAAATGTGGAAAATCAGTTAGATAGCTAACAAAATATTTATATATATCATAGCAATTTTAAAGGTACATTTAAAAGGTGATAAAAAATACATTTTTATATACTATTTAATAAATAATACTGGAATTTAATATAATTATAATTTAATATTTAATAAATAATAATGGAATTGCGAATGTGGAAAATCAGTT